CTTTATTGGGTATAAATACATGAATTTATTTATAAATCTTAGCAAATGTAATATGACTACATCATTATTTATTTTAAAATATATAACAAAACAAGTGTAAAACTTTATGGTTAACAAAATTAAAAAATGGAACTTTAATTTTAAAATTAACCCAAACAAGTTTAACAATTTCAGATAGGTAAGTTCAATCATGATCATGTGAAGTACCACTTGGAACCAGCTCCAGTAAAACTCTGCTCACGTGGCTCTCCAGCCACGAATTTGAATAAAATACGTCACGTGGTTTGCGCAGTCAAAGACACACGTTTGCCGAAATAACTCTCAGCTACGCAAATTTATTTTCAAAAGATAATTTTTCGTAACAATCTTACTTTAATTAAAATTATTTTTGATGAAGAATAATTGAAAAAAAACGTCAAGTTAGAAATTAATTTGAACTATTGTTTTACTTTATCTAGCAGGCTTGTATGATTTTTAATAGAAAATGAAAATGTGGTTCTATTGACAAAATTACTTTTCTATTAAACAGATATTACTAATAAACTGCCGGGTAATTGACGGTATTGCTATCAAAGTTGGAAAGTACAAAAAATAAGTTTGAATATCAATAATATCTGCCCAAAATTTGATATTCCGACATCAATTTTACTTCTCAACCCTTTGTAAATCAGCAACACATTCACTGGAGCACAATTTCTCATATAGTTTATGATACCAATAGCTAAAACGTGGATGAATATCTTTTGAATTCAGCTATTAATTATCATCATCATTTTTAAGAATATGAAATTCTTGGTTAAGAGTCGAATGATTTGGAAATATTTAAAACAAAGCAGCGGTGCCGTCTCAGATGTGCTTGTTCATCATAAGTTAGGGTTACAGCCAAAATTTCCTCTTTTTAGACATGTAAAATTTAACGTTATCTTTTTCAGATCATTTTAAATGACTACATCTACGTGAACTACAGCATATTATCATAATTTTTTAAATTTGTCTTCCCTTTCAACACGCCAGAACTGTCTTAGATATCCAATCAAAACTTACTAAAATAAATTCCACTTAAGGCCCTTCCTTATAACTTTGCCGCCAAATATTTTTTAGCATTAGCCTTTAAAGATTTATAAGCTCTTGTCGTCATGGTTTTTTTCACACAAACAGCTTCTCCTCAAACTTTCTACCCATTTCATTATTTTCTCAGCGTATCATTAAAATATTAATTACATTAGTGAGAACGTTGAAAATGTTTGAAATTAACTGATATGTTTATAATATAAATGTTTAATCCAGTTTTGCTGTCGTTAAATATTTTTTCGAACTCAAAATTGATATTTTCAAATAATTCTTTGTCAAATAATACGACCACAGTCATGAAAAAAAATATAAAGAAATAATTATAAATAAATGCGCGCGAGCGGGTGTGCCTGCATCCACGTACATGTATGTGTGGCGCGTGTGTGCGCCTGTATGTACAATGTATTAACACATCCATCCATTTGATAGGATATATTTTTAGTAAAACAGGTAATAGCATTGATTCGTTTTAGCATCTGTTCCACACGGACTACTGACTTTACCAAGGCTCAATCATAGAAAAAATAATTTAAAATTAATTTATAGTAATTAAAACAAAAAAAATATTCAAAACTTAATTATGCATGTAAAAAGAATTATAATGAAAAAATTAGTTTTAATTGATTTTTTAAAAATCATAATATCATACAAATGTGTACATACAAAGTGTTTTTCTCAAAATTACTTTCAAAAAATCCTTATCTATGACCAAATTATGGCTGTTTATGAAGTAAATAAATATAAAACAAGTTTATTAATTTTTAGAATTATTCATGAAAATAATAAACTAAATAAACACATCATAAATTTAATTGAATACAATAGAATTTCAAACACCCGATCTAATGATAAACTTTTAATTAAAACAAATTTAATATTGAATAAAATTAGTGCTCGTCAGTTTTTCTATTAGGCGCCGTTGGTTTGGAGTGGATTGCCATTTTATTTGAGGGCTTTGACAAATTATAATGATTTCAAAATTCAATTAAAGAACTATTTCATATGTTTGTCATAATGTTTTATAATTTTTTCATATAGTTACTTTTGTTTTATACATTTTCTTGATCGGGTTTTGTGCTTAGATGTGTGCGCATGAGTGTTGTGCTTGAATTGTTTGTCTATGAGATGTACAATTAAAAATTACTATTATATTATTAACAGCCAAATAATGTTTGATCATAACTATTTCCATTATTACTTTTTTTGTGCGTGATCAATTGAATATGTGACTTTAAATGTATGGAATTGGATGTTTTTGGGGTTGGCTGAAAAAAACACTCGTGGTTATGCTGGACCCTTTTTTTCAAAATTATTTTTTAATGTTTGAAAAATAAACGGATAAAAAAAATCCTTATCAGTCCATTTAGCATAGTCTATCTTGTTGTCGTCGTAGATCATTATTGCCATCCACTTTCCCTGTTTTTTTTTTCCAGCTAACCTGACTGGTCAAGAACGTTGAACGGTTTGTTCTATGTTTTTTCAAATTCGTTTAACTTAATTTTACTTTTTTGTTCTTATCATATAATAATCACATTTAGGGTTGTTTTTCCAAAATGCAATATTTTACATTTTTCAGCATTGAAATTTACCAGCCGCTCGTTCGACCATTTAAACATTTCACCCAAATCTGGTTCTATTTTTATCATTTATTAATTTAATGATATTTGAAAAAAAATTTTCATATATTTCTGTTTGATTCCATCAAGTCAAATTTGAGACTGTTTTACCGTTAATCATTAGTTGCAGTGCTAAACCAATTGTGGGATGAGATGCATTCATTTTCTCAGCATGTTGTGAACATTGATTAGATCACCCCTGAATCCTCTCTATTTAAGACAAGGTAATTGCAAAAATTTTAGCCTGTCAATATATTTCAAACACATCTTAAATGTTAACAATCTTTTTTCATTTTAGTGGTTCTTTTTTGAACTTCAAATTCCAGAATCTTCCGCATCGTACAGAGAGACCAAACAGAAGCAAAATAATCCAATTTAGACCTGATAATGACTTGTGCAGAATAAGAAATGCATTTTTGAAATTTCAAAAAATTATACCTGTATATGATAATCAAAAAATCTGTTTTGTTGAAAAATGTCTATGTATTTCCCTACTATCTTTTTCTGCATTTTACGGTGATTTAGCACTGATAAGCTATCTTTACGCCTTTGGTCTTTGCTTTAAATTTTTTGAAACATTCAATGTTGTTGAAAATGTTTATTTGCTTAAGGTATGATAATGGGTTTGCTATGTTTTCATTTTTAAAAATTAAGTGTGTATCTTCTGGAATTCGGTGTATTTTCCAGCTTTCATTATGTTTGACATTCTATTAATATGGGTTGGCTTGATAGTTTTGCATTATATTTCTCACAAAGTGGAGATTTTGTTTTGTATCCATAAATAGGTTATTTTGGATGATATACATTCTGATATCAGAAAAAATATCATTTGAGATATAATGAGATCATTGTTCTAAAAAAATTGTTCATCACTGGTGACAAAGATAGAGTACAATAAAACAATGGGCTGATGAACGCGTCGATCAATTTGTTTTATTGAATAGGAAATTTTTTTTATCTGGTAAAACGCATTGCAATGACCTTAAAATTAATTTCAGTGATATAAATCATATTTTTTTAATTTTTAACAAATGCAAATCATCGATAATCATCATCATCAACTGAATCATCATCAACTTTATAATCATCTTCATCAAAAAATCACGAATCTAAAAATTCTGTTTGAAACCATTATTTGATGTTAGGCAGTTGTTACAAAAAGCTGTCAATTTATTAATTTATTGAATAAGCTTTTTTATCCAATGTGAAAAATTTGCTCAGGGCCGGATTAACATATTCAGGGGCCCTAAGCACTTAACAATTATGGTGCCCGAACAATTATTATATAATTATAATATAATATAATACATTATAAGTATTATATTACTTGGCACAGGAGAATCCGTGATCATAAAGGCCAAACCGAGGCTCAACCATTGCACATAACACAAACCATAATCTATACATCACATTTATTAACACATCATGTAATTATTAGAAGATTATTATTAGAAGAGCTTGTGTTGGAGGATGCGGTGGCCATAATAACATGACAACATTTTCCAGCATGGCGATTAATAATACTCAGTCGCATATTGTCTATTTTGCCAAAAAGTAATAAAGAAAGGCAGAAATGTTGAAAACTAAGATATGTATCTTTAAAAATGATGAGACGACGTCCTAAACATCGTAGTTGATTATAAAATAAAAAAACCATTATAAAAATCGTTAACAAACAGGCATTGAATTATTATTTAACAATTACCCAAACCTTAATTTGATGAATAATTAGTAGCTGTGGTTATTATTCATTTTTAAATATTAGTTTATTCACCTATTGTGATTTAATGTTGAGAATATTCATCATGATTGATATTATAGTGCCATTACATAACAAGCACAGACACATCTAATTTGCAAATTAGAACGTACGTGAAAAAAAAAATATGAAATCTACATTGATTTTTAATGCTTAAACAATTTTTTTGGGAATTGTAAAATTATAAAATATCTATAAAATATGATTTATAATGTTTTATGGATTCAATTAAATGCACAAACGCCCGAGCAAACACATACACACCACACACACACACACACACACACACACACCGAATGCTTGGCGTTAATATGTTTGTTGTTCGTTTTTTTCAATTTTGTATCTTGCTAAAATTATTATGGCTGAGATTCAAAATGTTAGAATAATGAGCGGGGTTGATAACTTATCTGCCATTGTTAATCTAGAGATTATAAATCCGTTATAATAAGACATATTTAGTAGTATATAGCATGAGATTACTATAAAATTAAAAATTAATAGTGATCAGCATTTGAAATACTTAGATATTGCTAGTATAGTTAATAGTGAAATTGTTAGCATTTTCTCAGAGAAATATTTTTAATTATATCATTTCCATATAGACGTACTATAATAACTAGTAATGTTAGCCCTAGCCTAGCTTCACATGCTCCAAGGGTTAATATAATTACTCTAAGTAATGGTACTGGTGTATTAAATAAAGTTATGAAAAAAGATAAATAAAGTAGTATCCTAAGGGTTAGCACTTCTAAGCATAATAGAATATGTAGAAAATGGGTTTTGAATATAATTAGATTAGTTATTGCAATAATTGGTAGCAGTATTTTTTGGTTAACATTTAGTTTATTAAAATTCAAAATAAACTTATTTTCCGAATTCATGATGCAAATAAGGCCATATTTCGATTCCGAATGAATCATCATCATTGCTTTTTGATGTTTATATAGGGAAATAGTGACTTTGTCAAAATGAACTTAGATGGAAATTAGGTGTTAGGTTTCTTTATTGGCTGGTCATCTTCTTTGGTCTCCTTTTCTTCATCGATAGCATCATATTCTTCTTTGTCACTATTTACAATGCTAGTTTTTATTACTTCTTCGTTTTCATTGTTGGTTAAGCGCCGGGTTGGAAGTGAGGTTGTCATTTTTTGTTGTATATTTATTTTTGGTTTATTGATGTCAATTAGGACTGCTTCTGCAATTTTAAGATGCGTGCAGTTGCTGTTCT